TAGTAATCTTTGAAATTGTTGCATAAGTCTGATCCAAATAAACAATCCGATCTAGGATCATTAGACATTCACAAAAGGCCCATGAAGTTGAGCACCATTCTGCATGGAGAGAAATGAAGATTTTAAAATGCCCTTCTGTTAATTAACTTTCTGTATTATTACACCTCCTAAGAACGGAGTATGCAAAAATGTTCTATGTTGTAAGTGAGTCACATTCGCAACCAGTATAACTAGGCTGTGAATGCACTTGCACATCATAAATGAATTCAGCGAATTTATATGAACAGGGTCAACCGATTCATACAAGTAGGAATTCTTACGAATGATCTTGGCACTCCACTAGAAAAAAAACCATACATGTTTGTGAAGGGAAATTATGTCTCAACAGCAAAAAAGCCAGACTTTGGTTGAATATCAGGAAAAACTACTTAACTTTTAGAGCAGTAGGGCAATGGAATCAATTACCCCAAGAAATGCTGAGTGCTCCAATACTAGAGGTATTCAAGAGAAATTGAGACAACCACCTGGCATTTATCCTTTGATTTGTTTCCCTGCATTGAGTAGGATGGGTTGGACTCAATGGCCTTATAGGCTGGCCCCTCCAACTTCATTATTCTATGATTCTATGAAAGGCATTGAGAACTTTTCCAGCTCTTTAGGTTTTCACAGTAGATTCCATGTGATGCCAAATAATCGAGAAGCCAACTCTTTTATGGAAATTCCTGTATTCCTTTTACTGAAGTGCAATGGTATAGTAGGGTCCACAGGGGATTCAGCATGCACCCGCTTAAAACTCCCCAAAAACTGAAAAATGGCAAATCACATTCATGAAATCCAGGAGCAGGATTTGCCATTTAATGGCAACTTAAATCCAGAGACATAATCTTCACCATCACCTTAGAACTGCAAGGGAATCACAGTGTTAAGGAGATATAGTGGGGAATCAGACTCTCACCTCTAGCTCTGCAGCCAGATACCTAAACCAGTAATCTACCCAGAAATTCATGCTAATGAACAAAGAGAAAAAGTTCATACTGAACCATATGTGTTTGTTTAACTAGGATCTGGTTGATGATAATAGGTACTAACGAGACTTCCCAGAATAAAGATATCAGCAGCTACTTCAGGTGAAACACACTTTATTTTGTAGCGATTTCATTTTACTGCAGAATCATTCCAATAACCCTACTGCTTTAAGTAGGATTACTCATTGAACCTGGACTCTTTCTAGGAATAACAACTACAAGTGCCGAAGGAGTAAGAATGCCTATAGGTACAATGTCAGAGTGGGTACAATGTCAGAGTGCCGCTATTTTCTTAGAAATGTTATTTCACTGAGTTTTCCCCTAAAATCATATCAAAAACAAGTGTCTCTTTCTAATTTTCAGATGAAACTGGCTGCCAAAGCATGCTTTTGGAGGAACACTTTCATCTGGAAAGTTTCCTTTAATATTATCTACCAAACGTTCAAAAGTATCAGACCAAGTGAAGAATTCTGTGTCATTCTGGAGTGGCTGTGTCATACCACTTGGTCAAATAAAAGACACTTGTTTACTTATGTGATATTTCTTATTCCAAAAAACAACAAGACAAGCAGTCATTCTGGTAAAGAAGCGTTTGGCATGAGGCATCCTGTGACAAGCTGACTGGATGGCTCAGTGAGTTAGTTAACTGACTGTGGAGCCAGAGGTTGGAAGTTCAATTTCTCATTGTGTCTTCAGGGAAAAGAGCCGGCCTATGTGGTGTTGGAAAAGCTGCACAGTGCTAGGAAGCTCCAAAAAAAGGGAAGGGTAAATCACTTTACTTTCTACCTAGAAAACCCTGAAAGTACAGTCATTGATTTGATGGTACACAATTTTCAGATAAAGCCTCCCCTCCCCTGGTACCTTTTGGATACCTTGCACCCCAGTTCTTGACTATTAGCCTTCGGGTGGAAGCATGAGTTAGGGGAATGTATTGACACAGGAAGATACCTTCCAGCTATATTAGAATCACAAAGTTTAAACCCAGGTTGCCAGGCTACTACAGTACCCAGAAATCTGTACTGTCCCTTTAAATGCCATGAGAAATGGGTTTCCTTCTGCCCATTTCTTCCCTGGCTGATGTCACAAGCAAGACTACGTATGTGAAGGAGAAGACAGACAACAAAACAGTCAGAAGAGCGAGCAAGGAAAGAAAAATCTAGGGCTACAGGAAGTGATTGGAAAATACAGTATAGGTTTCTAGAATGCAAACAGATCGCCTAGCTTGAAAAGACTTGACATGTTAAAAAAATGTCACAACCAACCTGTTTTGGGAAAGCAGAGTTACTCCTTATTTGCACTACTATTTTCATTTTGTTTCAATCACTCAGGTATTGCAGTTTGTATGGTTTTCCATAATTCCTAACCCTCATTACGCTCCTGATTCCTTGTAACAACTCCCATGAAAGCATCACGTGCAATTTTGCAGGGATGTAATCAAAGTAGTCTAATAAACAGGATTAATAAGACTTGCTGACAATTCTGTTCTATTGCACTATTTTGAATCAGATGGGGTCAAAGATTTCTGCAGAGTTCCCTCTGGTAAGACATTTTCCTACACTGAGTAGCAACAGTAACCATCCTTTTGAATTTCTACTGTATTTTGAATCAGATCGGGTCAGAGATTTCGGCAGAGTTCCCTCTGGTAAGACATTTCCTACACTGAGGAGCAACAGTAACCATCCTTTTGAATTTCTATTGTGCCCTAGCATGTGAGACTGTGTCATAGCTGGCCACTACCAGTAATTAAAATAGCAGTTCATAGAGCCAGTTAGCCAGCATGCACGTGGGGTGGGAGAATGAAGCCACATTTAAACAAGAGATCCTGCCAAGTACCATACGTACCCATGTCAGGTGCCCTTGGCTGCTATAGGTTGATATCATTTGGGGGATACTATATATTATATATTACATACTATATATCTAGAAAACCTTGGAAAGAGTCACCATAAGCCGTTTGGGGGATACTATAGTATATTACATACTATATACCTAGAAAACCTTGGAAAGAGTCACCATAAGTCATAACTGACTTGATGGAACATAATTGTTATTTTTCATTATTACAGATAGCTTCAGCAAGGTTTTTCAAAATTGTTACTGTATTTTTCATTATTACAGATAGCTTCAGCAAGGTTTTTCAAGGTTTTTATGAAGTAATTTCACAAGTGTTCAACAGCAATTTATCTGCTGGTGATTCCTCCATCACTCATCATATGAATTATGGATGTGAAACAAACTCACTAAACTCTGCCACAGCCTACCAAAAATCATCCTTTTACCTCCTATGAAATGACCTAACTGGTCTAGGAAAAAAAATCTGTATTAACACTGAGCATTACAGCTGCATGTGACAGAGATGTAAAAGTTGCCTTTTGGGTTGTCATTACTGATTTATCTCATTGAGATATTCCAGAGCTGATCCTACCATCAGGACCCATTTACCTCATGCAGAAGTGTCAGGGCTCAAGTTACAGGAAGCCAGATTTAGGCTGAATATCAGGAAAAAACTTAACTGTAAGAGCAGTATGATAGTGGGACCAATTATCTCAGGAGGTACTGAATGCTCAAATGCTGGAGGCATTCAAGAGAAAATTGGACAACCGTATGTCAGATATGCTTGGATTTGGTTTCCCACATTCAGCAAGGGGCTCGACTTGATGATCTTATTAGCTCCTTCAAACTCAGGTATTCTATGATTCCATGATTCCATCTCACCCCATTGTACTTCATCCTCAGCCATTCCTTACATTGAAGGGAAAAAATGGTACAAGCAACAGGAAATTTCCTGAATACTCCAAACTAACCCACAGACTTTAGAGGATGCTGTCAAGTTTGCATTTGAATATGCAATGGAGGCAACATAGTGGTCTCTACTTTTGCCTCAGGTTGCAAAATGGGCAGACGGCACACTTCATCTCAGTCCATAAACTGTCCTGGCCTGAGAAACTCCAAAGGAATTATTAATATTCTGAGAACATAGTTTGAAAACCATTAAACCAAAGCATCCTTGATAGATGTTTCGAAAGGCTTTTCTGGCCAAAGGAGAAAACCAGCCTTCCAAGAAAAGGGCTAGGCTAATTCTCCCGTGACACCAAAGCCCTGCTTCTTAATTCAAAAAAAGTTAGTTTAGGTCCATAAAACTAAATCTATGTATGTATTTATTCAAATGATTTATTTAAGACATGAGGCTATACTGAAGCTTCTGGGCTTTTTTAACATCAACCTTCACAGCTCCTACAGATTTTGAAAATTATTGCCTGGCAAATCAAGTGAGAATGGCGCCACAATTTTGCGTAGTTGGGTTTACTCAGAAGAAGGCCCCACTGAATTCTAGGATGCTTACTCCTATGAAAGTGTGCATAGCATTATACCCTGTTCAGTGATTTTGGGGGAGTGGGGAAGCAAAGCGTGATTATGAAAAGTTTTTGTTGATTTCAGTTCCTGGAATATTTAATCCTCCTTATTTACCTTGGGAGTGTGGGTTTTCCTCCCTCCTCCCTGCTCTCTGCTAGAGGCTGCCACCTCAACTGATGAGTCTGGCTCCTTATATTAAAAAAACCTGTAACCTAAGAACTAAAGAAATATTTGGTCTTGGTTTTAAAAGGGTATCTCCTCTCTGACCATGCCATGTTGCTATGTTTTTAATTCTCCTTAGCGCCTGGAAAAGTTACTTTGCACACAACACATATACACAAACACACAACCCGCAGCCAGCATGGCCACTTCAGACCAGAAAAACAACTCTTCCAGGCTCTGATTCTCTTCTTCCCTTTTGCCAAAGCAGAACATGTGACTTTCTGGTTTGATACCTCTGGTGCAGGCTTGATCTCCGGCAAACCCCTACCAGGGAGGCAATCACGGTGATGGACGTAGAAGGGAGCGGCGACAGTGGAGGAGGACACAGACCGGGACTGGACACACTTGGGAAGGGACGTTACTCAGAAAGGGGGTTAAATATTAATCGTTTCCTCCTACCCTGAAGGCTCCCTGATTGACTCTGCTGTGTACCTGCTGTTCTCCTCCATGCTTCGGTTCTCCGCCGCCCGCCACTCGGGCATGGTGCTGGCGCAGAGCACCACCATGGAGACGATGACGAAGAGGATGGAAACCATGGCCAGGATCTGGGCCGCTAAGGACGAGGTGGGCTCCTCAAAAGTCCTCCTCATCCTCTCCAGCCACTTCTTCTCGGCGGCGCCAGGCGGGGGCGCCGCGGGACCACCGGCACCCAGGCCGGGATCTCGGTGGCCGTGGTGGGGATGATGGGCCGGCGGGCAACTACTTTTGCCGCTGCTGCTGCTGCTGCCGCTGCTGCTGGCGCTGTTCCAGCCGCCGGCCATCTCCGCCTGGAGGTCTTCCGCCGAGTAGAAGGTGTAAGTGTCGGACATGCGGTCGTCGAGGCGCCGCTGGCAGCAGTACTCGAGGTGGGAGCACTCCAAGCCCCAGTAGATCATCTCGTTGTAGAAGGAGAGCTCGCACATGTGGGGCACGAAGCGCAGGTGGCCGTAGCGCACGTAGAGCATGATGAAGCCGAAGGCTTCGGCGTGCCGGTCGAAGAAGTACTCGTTCCGCTCGCGGTCGTAGTCGTCGCACACTTCCAGGACGTCCTGCTCCGAGAGGCAGCCGTGCAAGCGGCTCACCCGGCGCAGGGGAAAGTCCTTCAGCACCTCCCGCGCGAAGGAGTAGCGGGTGCCCCCCACGTTCAAGACCACCACCGACGGGGCCCCTCGGACAAAGTTCATGGCTCAAGGGGGCGCGGGAGGGGAGGACGGAGG